TTTTTATCTTAAAGATAGTTACATGCACAAAAAAATGAACATTACACATGACACTTAGCTCTATTGAAGGCTGTTGTTGCTGGAAGGAAGACAGGGAGGAGGGGAGAGGGAAGATAGGTTATTATTTGGAAGAGGAATCCTCCTCTATTAGGACTAGGTACCAAGTCCTTATCTGGGGTCACTTCCCTCCTTTGTTCTTTACTGCCACTAGGACCAGCTTAAAAGTCACTGGACCCCTGTCGCACAAAATATCTGTCCAGTTAGCTCTGTTTCTGGCGTCTCTAAGATTTGCCTAAAATGGGATGTGGCATTGTCATTGTAAAAGTCACTAGTACGGATTGCAACAGATTTCTCAGGGTGATGTTCCTCCACAAATGAATGCACTCTAGTCCACATTGCACAAATCTCCTTAATCTTTGAAGGCGGCACCTTCTTCCATCTCTCTTCCTCCTCCTCTGAAGCAGTTTCCTAAACTGTGGTCTGTTGCTGTTGCAGATGAAGCTCTTGCAGCTCATCAGTGGTTAGCTCTTCATTGTGGTCCTCCCCAACTCTTCCACATCCTCCAAACTCGCATCCAACCCCATGGAATTCCCCAATGCCACAGTTGATTTCACAACAGGTGTAGGGTCGACAGAGTCAGCCTCAAACCCTTCAAAATCCTTCTTTTGGACACAATCTGGCCACAATTTTCTCCAAGCAGAGTTCATCATCCTGGAAGTCACTCCCTGCCAAGCCTTATCTATAAGGCCTATGCAGTGGAAGATATTAAAGTGATTCTTCCAGAACTCTCTTAGGGTCAATTCAGAGTCCATGGTTATGTCAAAGCACCTTTGAAACATTGCTTTGGTGTACAGTTTTTCGAAGTTTGCAATGATCTGTTGGTCCATGGGCTGGAGGAGAAGAGTGGTGTTACGAGGCAGGAACTTCACTGTTTCAAAATTGAATTCCTTAGACAATTGGGCTTCCAAGTCTGGAGGATGAGCAGGAGCATTGTCCATTAGCCCTTTCAGGGTTTCTGGCATACTAGTATTGCTTACGCACCAGGGTTATTGACGTACTAGTACGTCTAAATTCTAGCGTCCTCAAATCTAGCAAAAGAAAGCTGGTAGGCCTACATATGAAAGAATGGGTCTATGTGGTCAGCGTGTGCAGTATAAAAAAAATCCTGCAGCACACAGTGTGTAATGGTTTAAAACAGCGACTTTGCACTGTATTTTCGTATGGTATTTATGGTTGTATTCTAGTTTTCCTGGTCTCATTTTATAGAATGGAAGACATATTACAGAAATTGAGATGATTTTGATTGGTTTCACAATGAAAAGTACCTTGAAATTGAGCTCAAAGTAGCAGAAATGTTCGATTTTTTGCCAAAGTTCAAAAGTAAACAAATCATGCCAAGCGTCCAATACACATCAACTGGTGAGTCTAATATTCTTTCACAAGTGCGCTGATATTATTTATACCATTTCTACACTAATACAGTAGTCTGCATAAATGTAAATCTTCTATTTTTTGTGAGAATAAAAATTCAAAGTGGAAAGCTAAAGAAATGGAAGAGGGGTGTGGGGACGAGACTAATGAACAGAGGAAATGTTATTTTAGTGCCAGGAATGTCTTTCTTGTTTATTCTAGACCCTATTAGGAAATTGGCATCTTTTGAAATTTGTGTGAAATTGGCAAAATTGCTAATTTCTGACCACTTTATTGAATAGTTGAAATCGGTAAATGGATGGTTTCTTGTACTCATTCGATAGAAAAAATGGAGTTCTAGCGAAATAGCTATGATTTTTGTCGACTAGTACACTGGAATTGGATAAAAATAGGGCTCAAAGTGGGCAAAATCGCCGATGCGTAAACATCGTCGAGACCGCTAACTTCGCGAGAGCATAATTCCGTAAGTTTTCCATCAAATTTCATAATTTTGGTGTTATCATGATTGGGAAAAGATTCTCTATCTTTTCGTAAGTTTTTTTTTTTTTTTTTACCCGGAAAATTTTCGACCCTGAGAACAAGTTTCGGAGAGGGCCTGGTGACCCTGAAAGGGTTAACAGGAGGCACTGGAGTGGCAATTTATTATCCAGGAGGTATATCTTCACACTCGGGCCAAACACTTCATTGAACCATTTAAGGAAAATTTCCCTAGTGACCCATACCGTACTGTTAGCCTTCCACTTCACACACAATTTACTCTTGACAACACTGTTTTTCTTGAAAACACTAGGATTTTCAGAGTGATATGCCAGTAAAGGCTTCACTTTGAAATCCCCACTAGCATTACCACACAAGAGAGTTAGCCTGTCTTTCATAGGCTTGTGTCCTGGGAGTGCCTTTTCCTCCTGCATAATGTAGGTCCTATTTGGCATTTTCTTCCAAAACAGGCCTGTTTCATCACAATTGAACATTTCCTGGGGTTGGAATTTTTCATCCTCTACATAACACTTGAATTCCCGTACAAATTTTTCAGTTGCTTGTTTGCCTGAACCGGCACCCTCGCCGTGCCTTACAACACTGTGTATGCGACTTCGCTTGTTGAATTTTTCAAATCAGCCTTTGCTGGTCTTAAATTCACCTACATCAGCACTTGTTTCAGGCAGTTTCTTTAAGAGGTCGTCAGGTAACTGTCTTGCCTTTTCACAAATAATTGACTGCACAACACTGTCTCCTGCTAACTCTCTCTCTGATCCGCACCAACAACAGTTTCTCCACTTCTTCAGTTGTTTGGGATCTCTGTTTGATTTTCACATTCACCCCTTTCGCAACATCAGCTTCAATTATTTCTTTTCTTTTTGCCACAATGGAGCCGATTGTTGATGATGACTTCCTGTACATCATGCCAAGTTCATCAATGAGTATGCCACTATCATATTTTCTTAGGATTTCTTTTTTCAGTTCTACGGTGTTCTTCACTTTCTTTACCAAAGCACTGGCACTAGGAGCTTTCTTTGGGGTTATAGTTGCTTATTTAGCAGTCACACACAATAAACAAGTGGCAAAAACAATGGATTATTATGAAATGTTTTGTATGACCTGGCAGGATATGGTCACTCGCCGAGAAACAACGCTACACTGGCTGAGAATGGTGTGGGAGGTGGCTTTATGATCGATGAAAACAAGAGCCAAAAAATCAACGGAAAAAGTCGGCCAAAACCGATAACAGACATCGATGAAAACGGAGGGTCCACTATGTCACTGTACTACATCACTGATCAGATATTTGCCTTTTTTTTCTGATTACAGTCACAACCATGACCTGTTGCAATATCGTTTGTTGTGATGACTTTTATCAACACTTCCGCCAGTAGCACTGACCAGCTGCTCACTCCCCCTCGCTTAGCTTTTGTTAAAAAACTCCCACATTCAAATTTAAATTGTAATGTTTTTGACCATATCACCCTTTTCAGACTCTGGAAACCTTGCTATACCCATGTAGGTATGTTCACTGACTCTGTGGCACACAGTGACCTCTGACAATATCCTAGGACTGGACGAGAACGCTAAATGCTGGGAGCACCATTAACCCTTTGACTGTCGCAACCCCAAATCCTGAGGTGTCTCCTGGTGTCGCAAAATTTAAAAAAAAAAAATATTTTTTCTTATGAAATGATAGAGAAACTTTTCCCAATTGTAATGATACCAAAAGTATGAAATTTGATGGAAAGCTGAAGGAATTACACTCTTGTGAAGTTAGCGACCTCGGCGATATTTACGAATCGGCAATTTCGCCCACTTTGAGCCCTATTTTTGGCTAATTCCATTGCTCCAGTTGACCAAACTCATAGCTCTATCAATTGAGTACAAGAACTGCCCATTTACCGATTTCAACTACCCAATAACGTGGTCAGAAATTTGCAATTTGGCCATTTTCACGAAAATTAAAAAATATGACAATTTCAAAATAGGGTCCAGAATGAACAATGCAGACATTCCTGGCTCTAAAATAGCATTTTCTTTGTTCATCAGCCACATCTCCAGGCCCCTCCGACATTACTCTTGCTTTCTATTCTGAATTTTTATTCAAACAAAAAATAGAAGATTTACTGTTATGCAGACTACTGCAATATTGTAATAATTGTATAAATACAGTGGACCCCCGGTTAACGATATTTTTTTCACTCCAGAAGTATGTTCAGGTGCCAGTACTGACCGAATTTGTTCCCATAAGGAATATTGTGAAGTAGATTAGTCCATTTCAGACCCCCAAACATACACGTACAAACGCACTTACATAAATACACTTACATAATTGGTCGCATTCGGAGGTGATCGTTATGCGGGGGTCCACTGTAATGTCAACTCGTTCATGACTGCATATTAGAATGGCTAGTTGGACATTTATTGAACAATGACATCATTTGTTTACTTTTTGAACATCGGCAAAAATCAAACATTTCCCCTAATTTGAGCTCCATTTCAAGGTTCTTTTCATTTTAAAACCAGTCAAAATCACCTCTATTTCTATAATATGGTTTCCATTCTATCAAATGAGACCAAGAAAACGAGAATACAACCATAAATACTATACAAAAATAGACCACAAAGTCGGCATTTTAATTAAAAAAAAACGGTCGTAGTTTTTTTTTCTCATTATGCACTGTGTGCTGCAGGATTTTTCTTATATGGTGCACACTGACCACACAGACCCATTCTCTCACATGTGGGCCTACCAGCTTTCTCCTGCTTGATTTGAAGCCGCTAGAATTTATGAGTAAATATACGTCAAAAACGGTGGCTCGTAAGACGTATATATACGACTGAAACAGTCAAAGGGTTAAAGAATACTGCCTTGAGTGAGTGTGTGGGTGTGTGTATGTGCACACTCATACGTATGTGCACGCATGCATGCGCGCTTTGTGTGTATGTGCATATATGCACACACTTGTTGGTCATGGACAAACTGAGCAGCATTGAATGCTGTTTGGCAAGAAAATTTTCTTTCTTGCTACTCATACCATTGCTTCTCCAGCACTTTCCTATTCTAAAAATTCCCCTTTTTCATTCAGAATAAAGCAGCAGACACACCTGCTGGCAACAGTGCAGCAGAAGGAGCAGCAAGTAACACCCCAGCCTCTCTCAACCTCCACCCTGGTGGATCTGGAATGGGTGGAATGGGATCAGGAATGAACAGCTTACGTCCTAATTTGGGTGGAGAATGTGCAGCTTCAGCAGCTGCAGCAGCAACAGCAACAGCAACAGCAGGCAGCACTGGGGCCAGCAGCGGCCAAGCTGCACTCTGGGCCAACACTAGGTTCTCTAATGACAGAGACGGCAAGATGGCAGAGAAGTTTCGCAGACTCATGGGTGTTAAAAGTGCAGGTGAGTTTATATTCTCTCTATTCTTGCTTACCTTCCTTCCTTCCTTCCTTTCCTCAGTTTAAGTCCCATCCTGTCTTTCCTTCTTGCCTGCCTTTCTGTTTGCCTTTCTTCTCTTCCTACCACTCTTTTGCCCACCACCTTTCTTAAAGAATATAATAAGGCAAATGTCATGAAAGCCAGGAGTTCAACAAGGGAAATAATGAGAACATTCTGAACGAAGGAAATAATGCCATGATGACACTATTCAAATCACTTGCACTTTCTTGCTCAGAGTATTGTTCAGTGTTGATGCCTGCATTCAGGACAGGCACACAGTTGGGGCAGCTTCAGAGATCATTGATGGCCCACATAGAGCCAATAAAGCATTTAAATTACTGGAAATGTCTCTTAGTTGTAAATATGTACTCTTTCTTTCTTTCAACACACCGGCCATATCCCACCGAGGCGGGGTGGCCTAAAAGGAAAAACAAAAGTTTCTCCTTTTACATTTAGTAATATATACAGGAGAAGAGGTTACTAGCCCCTTGCTCCTGACATTTTAGTCGCCTCTTACAACACGCATGGCTTACGGAGGAAGAATTCTGTTCCACTTCCCCATGGAGGTAAGTGGAAATAAACAAGAACAAGAACTAGTAAGAAAAATGGAAGAAAGCCCAGAGGGGTGTGTATATACATACATGCTTGTACATGTATGTGTAATGTGACCTAAGTGTAAGTAGAAGTAGCAAGACGTACCTGAAACCTTGCATGTTTATGAGACAGAAAAATGGACACCAGCAATCCTACCATCATGTAAAACAATTACAGGTTTCCGTTTTACACTCACTTGGCAGGACGGTAGTACCTCCCTGGGTGGTTGCTGTCTACCAACCTACTACCTAGGAAATATGTACTCACTGTTGGAAAATACATGTATATAGATGGTATGTAAGGGCCTAGTCTCAAATCTACACTGCAATAACAACATACTGGAATGAGAGATAAGAGATGTAAAATAAACCCATTGAAAAACAGGGCCACTGTAGGCACAGTAAGGTAACATTATATCAACATCCATGGACCCAGACCCAGACTGTGAAAGTAGGAAAACTCAAAACCCATTAAAAGGTAAATTAAGAGTATTTTCCTTCTCACTATCCTCTTCCTTTTAACTTCCTTCTCCCTTTCTCCTCCCTCTTCCTATTTGGTGTCTTTCCTCATCCCTCTTCTTCATAGACTTCTTCCTCCACCTCCCTTCTCCCCTTCCACCTACTCTTCTTTTCTCATCCCTCTGTCCTATTGCCCTCATCTGTACTTATGTATCAATTAGAAGTGGTATGTATATTTGCAATAGCACATAAGTGTTCATGTATTGTATAATACACTTACTGTAATACCAGTAGTGTGTAGTCTGGCCAGGATGGATTTGGGTACAGGCTAACACTGCTGCTAGAATTTCCACCACCAGGATGCGCTGTGATATATTATAACACTGTCAAATAGGATCCTCCACTATTATTTTTGGGGGATTTTCTTTCTTTTTGGGTCACCCTGCCTTGGTGGGAGACGGCCAACTTGTTAAAAAAAAAAAAAATTACAGTGGCTTGTGCATTAAACTCTTCTGTGGTTCTGGTAGAGGCGTTGGTTGAGCATTTTTCTGTGTATCTCTGAAGCTAAAGTTTATATTCAATGTATTTAAGTCATCTTGTAAAGTTATACAATCAGATTTTCCTAAATCACCTCCATCTCTCCGGAATTCGAATGATAAAGTCTGTGTAGGGAAAACATTTTAGAATAAAGATACTTAACTGGTGCACATGTATCTTACTTATCAACTTGGTATTGTATACCAATACAGCGGACCCCCGGATAACGATATTATTTCAATCCAGAAGTCTGTTTGGGTGCCGTTATAGACCGAATTTGTTCCCATAAGAGATATTGTGAATTAGATTAGTCCGTTTCAGACCCCCACAAATACACCTACAAAAGCACTTACAAAAATACACTTACATAATTGGTCGAGTTGGGAGCTGATCGTTATGCGGGGGTCCACTGTATTATATTTACACTCCATGTTGGGGAATTCAAGTTTTCTGATTTGCTAATTTCTAGTTTTGTCTTGTGACTTTGTTTACACGAGTTTTAAAATTCGCCTGGAAGAATCTTAAAGTTTGTTTTCTGAAAGGAAATATTTGTATCTCTTCTGAACTGTGGCTTAGCAAATTTAAAAATGTAATTACTATACCTATGATATATGTTGCTGTAATTTTGTTACCTTTTTGTAGCTTCAGCTGCAGATCTGTTCTGCTGCTGCTGTATTATGACCCTACAGGTGTAACATACAGTTGTTTGTGTCATATCATGTTGGGCTACATGTTAGTTAATATAGCACTGAAGATTGTTCTGATGGAAGATGAGTAGATCTAGACCTGTCTTGGTATGTAATGTGTGATAGTTCTCCAGTTCTCCACTAATTCTCCTGAGCTTTCATTCAACTTTTCCCAGTTACTCTCCTTCATTTGTGTTCTCCAAGCTTGACCAGCTGACTTGTATCACTGCTCGAGAAACACACGCGAGCAAACACTACGACATGTTTATTAGAAAATGTTTGGGTACTGGCACAAGTAGAAGTTGAGAGTAACTCTATATATATATTTTTATATTGGCTGGAAGTGAGGCTTGAAAGACATGTCATGACATGATAAAAGTGCAAGCAAGTTTTTATTTTTTTATTTTTTATTTTTTTTAGATGGTGTCAGATAGACCATGAGAGGACATACCGGGTTTTGAAGTAGAAAGGGCTTAGCCTGGTTGCATATAATCTATACCAATGTTGAAATTTTTTAAATTGCATCATTATGTTCCATATTGTTGATGATTAGTGAGGCTTCTAGACACTTTTGACATCTTAAGATCATGTCAGTATCACTTACCAAGGTTTATGCCATTCTTTTGTATCAGTGTTAAGTATGAGGCTGGTTAATGTGTTGCAGTCTAGCAGGACTGTTGTTTATTGGGGCAAATCTTGTAAACTATTTAAATTCAGTACACACTGAACTTTACTTTCGTCAGTAGTTCTTAGTTCCATAGTTTTATGTAGTGGTGGTAATGTACCCAGTGAGGTTGACATCTGCTGCATCTGAGCTTAACATAATTTGTATTATTATTATTATATAATCAAGGGGGAAGCGCTAAACCCGGAGGATTATACAGCGCCTGGGGGGGGATGTGGAAGGCATTCAGGCTTAATTCGGGGAACTGGAGCAGATCCAATTCCCTAAATCAAGAGCCCCTCACCAACATCAAGGAACCTTCCTTGAGGGGAAACATAATTTGTAAATTAGCAAAGAAAGCTTTTTCACTGCTGATGCACCTTGGTTTTTGGCACACTACATGTAGTGTAATCAAGTTGCATCCCACCTACTGGTTGGAACCTCACACACACCTTTCTTTGGGTCACACAAACGGGCAGTGCTGTCTGGTGTATGTGTTTGAATTCCTGTTATGGTGAAGAATTTGTTGGCTGTGGGTTATGCAAGATAAGGATGTATGTTCTGTATGTGAGGTTAAAGTTGGAAAGAATGTCTTAACCCTTAAACGGTCCCAACGTATACATACGTCACTCGCGCAGCACCCCGAATATTTTGAAAAAGAAAATTACCTTTTTTTTATATAGAAAAAAAGAGCACCTATGGAGCTATGAGGGCGAGAAGTTAGCACTGGATGCTCATGTGACAGCAACATTGAGTCCTACCACTTGCAGAAGTGTTGCCGATATACCTTTTTTTCTATTTTTCATATTTTATGTAATTTTTATGTTCTGATAATTACAATTTGTAGTAGTTCTTGTCATTTTATAACCAATCCTTGTTCTGACACTAGTATTAGGTACTGAAATTGTACTCAAATTGTCACAAACACACTGACAGGTGGACATTTACACCTGCCTTAGCCATTTACTATTGTCTTGGAATATATACAAAGTATTTATATGTCCCAGCAATGTTTTGGATATATGGAAGTATATAATAACAATGAGGAGGAGGAGGAGTAGAAAGGCAAAGAGGAGGAGGAGGAGGAGGAAGGGGAGGAAGAGAAGGAGGAGGAGGAGGAGGAGGAGAAGAATAATACGTAATAATAATAATAGGAATAAATAAGAGGAATAAATGGGATTAGGTCAGGGGTTTCAAATAGAGTTAGAGCTAAAGGAATAGTAGCAATAATGTTGAAGGATAAGTTGTGGCAGGAAAAGAAGGACTACAAATGTATTAATTCAAGGATTATGTGGAGTAAAATAAAGGTTGGATGTGAAAAGTGGGTTATAATAAGCGTGTATGCACCTGGAGAAGAGAAAAGTGTAGAGGAGAGAGAGAGATTTTGGGAAATGTTGAGTGAATGCATGGGGAGTTTTGAACCAAGTGTGAGAGTAATGGTGGTTGGGGATTTCAATGCTAAAGTGGGCAAAAATGTTGTAGAGGGAGTAGTAGGTAATTTTGGGGTGCCAGGGGTAAATGAAAATGGGGAGCCTTTAATTGAGGTATGTGTAGAAAGAGGTTTGGTAATAAGTAATACATATTTTATGAAAAAGAGGATAAATAAATATACAAGGTATGATATAGCACGTAATGAAAGTAGTTTGTTAGATTATGTATTGGTGGATAAAAGATTGATGGGTAGGCTCCAGGATATACACGCTTATAGAGGGGCAACTGATATATCGGATCATTATTTAGTTGTAGCTTCAGTTAGAGTAAGAGGTAGGTGGGAAAAGAGGAAAATGGCAACAACAAGCAAGGAGGAGGTGAAAGTGTATAAACTAAGGGAGGAGGTAGTTCGGGTGAGATATAAGCAATTATTGGCAGAAAGGTGGGCTCGTGCAAGTATGAGTAGTGGGGGGGTTGAAGAGGGTTGGAATAGTTTTAAAAATGCAGTATTAGAATGTGGGGCATAAGTTTGTGGTTATAGGAGAGTGGGTGCAGGAGGAATGAGGAGTGATTGGTGGAATGATGAAGTAAAGG